GTACTAGTATTTTCTTTGCTTTTTGCAAGTAAAATCCATTTTTTCCAAACACAACAACAGCATGAAATAATTGAGTATAGGCTGTTGAAAACTAATGTGAAACAAACATGAACAACCTTAACAAGGAATTGTGTTAGTTAAAAAAGACACTGATAACAGGTTGAGTAGGTGTCCTCGACTATTCATTGTTATCAAGCTAAAAGAGTTGACAGAAATATTACTTGCCTTGATACAGCTTCCAATATTCCTTGTAATCAAGCTAAAGGAGTTGACTGAAATATTACTTGCCTTGATACAGCTTCCTCTATTCCTAGTAATCAAGCTAAAAGAGTTGATTGAAATGTTACTTGCCTTGATACAGCTTCCACTATTCCTTGTAATCAATCTAAAAGAGTTGACAGAAATATTACTTGCCTTGATACAGCTTCCACTATTCCTTGTAATCAAGCTAAAAGAGTTGACTGAAATATTACTTGCCTTGATACAGCTTCCACTATTCCTTGTAATCAAGCTAAAAGAGTTGACAGAAATATTACTTGCCTTGATACAGCTTCCTCTATTCCTAGTAATCAAGCTTAAAGAGTTGAAAGAAATATTACTTGCCTTGTTACAGATTCCAACTCTTGTAAAGTTTTACCAAATGTGTTCAGCTGTATCTCCTTCTGTTTTAACTGCTCATTTATATTGTCTCTCTCCTTTCTAAAATATACAGAAATATGATGAAACATTTTATATAGAACTATTGACCTATTTCATTGAGTATTAACATAATAAGTAACATAATGAAAGTAAATTTTCTCAAGCAGAATGTCATAATTATTCTTCCTGGTGTTATATTGTTATGTGTTATTGTTGGGTATCATATCAAAAGGTCATAATGATGTCAACTGTAAATTGATTACTTTATACATGTTTACCTAAAATCAAACAAAACAGACAGAGTTCCACTTAACACTAATTTAAACCTCTGTAGGGGCTAACATCTCCTATTTACAATTAAAATCGTTATCTTCAAAGAGAGAGTTTTGTATACAGAGGTTATAAACACTTACTTGGCTAAATCTTCCTCTTGTGGTCCTATCTTGTTCCAGTCGTAACTTTTCCTGAGCATGTTCTCTTTTCAGATGTTCTATTTTCTCATCAGTTCTTTCCTTTAGCTCTGTTAACGGCCTTTCTTTCTCTTTCAGAGAGCGGCACATTCTCTCATAATCTGTAAATGCAGAAAGCAGGTAATGAGTTTCTTATTTAATGATCAAAAGAAGTGCCAAAAAAAAAATAACTGGGTGAGACAAGTGTTTTCAACAAAATCATGCTATAACTCGCTACTGTTATTATCAAGATGCAACCATATTTCGACTGCATTTACATGAAACAATACCAACTGAAGAAAATAGATAGCACTCCCAACTGTAACGTTTAAATGAAAAGGGCAAGAAGAAACCCTGTATAATATGTCAGACAACTCATGAACAGTTTGAGGCTGCACTGTCTGGCTATAATAAATTCAAGATCAAGATGGGCATGAAAATATATTATTTATATAATTATTATTTTATAATTGATACCCTTGTTTTATAAGCATACTGTGTTGATTATCAATGAACCAACCATGACACCTTGTTGAAATTGTTTGTTTTTATTGTATAGGTTTTTTTAAGTTAGTATGTTTTCATATGAATTAAAAGAAATTGTCATATAAATTTAAGTAACCATTGTTGAATAAACTCTTCCTTCAAAATGTAACTCTTCTTTTGGATTAACATAGTACATGAATATAGTACAATTTTGTGTCACTAGATTACAACTGTATACCAAATTCAAATGCATGTTTTCCAATCAAATCTTAATAACCGCTTTAGTTAACAAATTCAAAGCATGTTATATTAATAAAAGGCAGATCATAATTTAATTGTGAAAAATAATACAAATTGTCTTGTGCAAATATCTTGTGTCAATCCGTTTTCATCATCAAAGGGAGATAACAAAGTCAGAAATACCTGCTCAAGAGTTATCTTCTTTAAAAATAAATCCAGCAAACCCTTTACTTGAATGGGAAATTCCTGAAGTTACTTGAATGGGAAATTCCTGAAGTGTTTTGTTTTGCTTTTCAAATATTGAAAATCTAGTGACTTCATGATCTTATATTATCTACAGAAGTTATACAAAAAGGTAAAAATTTAATGATTAAGATTATTGGAGACGTCAAGTCTTTATCTATTTAAAGATAATATAATGCTCAAATAATGACCATTTATCAACTGCATCAACAAGCAACAATACCAATGGAAGGAAAGTAATAAGCACTCAAAACTGTACCAAAGTGTAATGTTGAAATTGAAAAGTATAGATTTGTCAGAAAAATCATAAACAGTTTGAGACTGCGCTGTCTGGCTATAAAAAAAATCAATATCAAGGTGGATATATATAAAAAAGGATTTTTTTTATTGATGCTCTTGTTTTATTTTGATTAGCATTATGTGTTGATTATCAATGTACCTTGCCTTGACAAAGTGTCGCCTTGTTGAAATTGTTGATTTTATTGTAATGTTTTAATTGTATTGGGTGTGATAGGTTAGTCAGTTTTAGTATGAATGAAACGAAAATCTCATACAAAGTAACTGTAGTTTAATAAATTTTTTCTTTAAATTATTATGACACTTTTAGATTAACGTACATATCTAGTTCTGTGTTGAGAAACTTCTTAATATCATCACTATACAGAAATCATATACATGTATTTGCTAATAAATTCTCAATTACAGCTGATTTTAACTAACTCAAAGCATGGTAAATGTCTAACAGACGATCAGAATTTATTTGTGAAGACTAATACAAATTATTTTGTCCAAATAACTTGTGTCAATCAGTTTCATCATCAAAGGGAGATAACAAATGTCAAATATAAAGTAATTTCAGAACAGAGTTATCTTCTTAAGATTGAAAAAGAAAGAGGAAGAAAAATCATTTCAGAAAACCCAACATTCTAGATAATTATTAACATTTGGAAAATTTCTCAAAAATTTTGTTTTGTTTTAAAATATTGAAAATCTAGTGACTTCACGATCAAATATAATCAAACAGGTAATAATCTAATGATTACTCTATACTTCTGACAAGTTTCATAAAAATTTATTTCAAAATGAGGTAAAAGTTTTGTAATTGATTAAGATAATATGCTATGCTCAATTTAGAATTTGTGACCACATTTTTAACTGCATCTACAAGAAACAACATAAAGTGTAATGTTGAAATGGAAAAGTATAAATATGTCAGAAAACTCATAAACAGTTTGAGACTGCCCTGTCTGGCTTTAATTAGGTGGATAAATGTGAAAAAGGGTTATTTATTGGTTTTTATAAGCATTATGTATTGATTATCAATATACCTTGACAAGTTGTTGAAATTGTTAATTTCTATTGCATTGTTTTTATCGTATGGGATGTAATAGGTTAGTCAGTTTTAGTATGAATAAAAAGAAATTGTCATACAAAATAACTGTTATCGAATACTAGTATACTTTTTCTTCAAACTATAATGACACTTTGATAAACATACAAGAAACATGTATCTAGTACAGTGTTGGTATGATATATTAACAACTGTTTAACAAAAACATGCATGTTCTTTCTAATCAAATCTCAACAAGAATTTGTAACAGAGTTACCAACATCCCCCGCCTCGGGAAGTTTTATATAAAGCATAAAATTGTGCTATTTCAAAAGATTGAGGTATGGATCCCAAGACACTTTCAGTCCAAAATTATGATCAATGCTAGATCTGCAAATGCAACAATAAATTTATTTAAGAAATAAAATGAAACATGGAATTTAAAAATCTTTCATGTTAAGCTTTGACCTCTAAGTGTGACCTTGGCCTTGGAGGCAGGGGTGCAGGAGTTGTGCATGACATATCATCATATTATTGCCAAGTATTTCCAAAATCCCTTGAACTTTGAAGAAGTTATAGATCAGACACAAAATATACCCTATAACAGACTATGTTAATCTTTGATCTCTAAGTGTGACCTTAGAGGTAGGGACCTATGTTTGCGCCTGACATATCGTCTTATTATTGTGATTATTTGTGCAAAGTATTTTTAAAATCCCTTGATCTATGAAAAAGTTATAGACTGGACACAAAATATACCCTATAACAGACTATGTAAATCTTTGATCTCTAAGTGTGACCTTGACCTTGGAGGTAGGGTTTCAAGTGTTGTACTTGGCATATCATCTTATTATTGTGACTATTTGTGCCAAGTTATTTCATTATTAGTTCGTTATTAACGTTATTTCGTTATTTTTTCATTGTGCATGACACATCGTATCATTATTGTAAACAATTGTGGCAAGTTTTTACAAAATCCCTTCAAAGATAAGAAAGTTTTCGACCTGACACGACATCTACCCTAAAATAGAAAATGTTGACCTTGAATGAGCAAAAGCGACCTTGACCCTGGAGGCAGGGATCTGGTTGTTGCACATGACACATCGTCTCATTATAACAAATATTTGTGCCAAGTTATTTCAAATTCCTTTGATAATGACAAAGTTATGGACCGGACACGAAAATATGACAGGCGGACGGATGGACATACTAAAAAAATGGTACTTATGTGACTTTTCCTTTGATCCTTTTGGCCATTTTTAGTCACACAAGGTTTAAAAAAAGACACACAAGTACAATGGGAATGAATAGGATTAAAGAGAATTTACTGTTACTCATTCACACAAGTACCTCTGTGTTTGTACGGACGGACAGACGGACGGACGGGGCCTATTTCTATATCCCCCTTTTTTCTTCGAAAATGCGAGAGACAATAGCAGCTTAAGTTAACAAATTCAAAGCATGATAAACTAATAAAGGCAGATCATAATTGAATTGTGAAGAGTAATACAAATTGTCTTGTGCACTTATGTCAATCAGTTTTTATCATCAAAGGGAGATAACGAATATCAAATATAAAGTGATTGCAGAACAGAGTTATCTTCTTAAGACAGAAAGAGAAAGAGGAAGTAAAATGATTTCAGAAATTCCAACATCCTAGATATTATCACTTGGAAAATTTCTCAAAAACTTTGTTTTGTTTTAAAATATTAAAAATCTAGTGACTTCATGATCTTTAACCTTCTGTAGAAGATATAAACAAACAGGTTATAATTTAATGATTACTCTTTACTACTGACAAGTTTCATTAAATTTTTTTTTAAAAGATGTCAAATTTTGTATTTGATTAAAGATAATATGCTTCGCTCAATTTTGAATTTGTAATCATATTTCGACTGCATCTACAAGAAACAATAGCAATGGAAGGAAAGTAATAGGTACTCAAAACTGTACCAAAGTGTAATGTTGAAATGGAAAAAGTATACATTTGTCAGAAAACTCATAAACAATTAAGAGACTGCGCTGTATGGTTATAATTAAATCAAGATCAAGGTGGATATATATGAAAAAAGATTATTTCTTAAATTTATTTTGTAATGTGTTGATTATAAAGGTACCTTGACAAGGTGTCACCTTGTTAAAATGGTTGATTTTTATTGTATTGTTTTTATCGTATTGGATGTTTTAGGTTAGTCAGTTCCATTAATTACAACAGTATACCAAAATCACATACATATATTTGCTGATCAATTCTCAATTACTGCTAAAGTAAACACATTCAAAGCATCTTAAATTAATAAAAGCAGATCAGAATTTATTGTTGAGAAGGATACAAATTATCCTGTCCAAATAACTTTTGTCAATCAGTTTTCATCATCAAAGGGAGATAACAAATGTCAGATGGTTAGGTGCTTGTAGAACAGAGTTGTCTTCTTAAGAGAAAGAGGAAGTTAAATCATTTCAGAAATCCCAACATCCTAGATATTAATACCTGTGAAATTTCTCAAAAAAAATGTTTTGCTTTAAAATGGTGACCTCATGATCTTTAATCTTTTACGGAAGATATAAACAACAGGTAACAATTTAATTAATATTCTATACTACTGACAAATTTTAATAACTTTTATTTTAGAAATAGGTAAAGTTTTGTATTTAATTAAAGATAATACGTTATGCTCAAATTTGAATTTGCGACCATACTTCGACTGCATCTACAAGAAACAATACCTATGGGCGGAAAATAATCAGCTCTCATAACTGTTCAAAAGTGTATAATGTAAAAGCTACCTGCCTCCATAGGAGTAAAAATATTTCAATAAAATTAAACTTGACAAACATGTACTAAGATTTTAGGAAATGAAAAAATATTCCAGATTCAAGCAATTATTTACATGTTTTGAGCAATTAATGACTGATTTTTCAGTATTTGTAACTATTTTTCTAATAACGCAATAGGGGCTATTTTAGTATATCATAACTCTTTTTGTTATTAACATAGGTTTTAAGTGCCATTGATAATGTGTAGATTGCTCCCTTTTTGGTTTCTTGACGATATTATTCACTTATACACATTTTCAAATTTTCATAAAAATAAGCATGAATCTGGAGGCATGCCGTTTTGAGTTGGAAAGGACATGAGTACCTGATAAGTACATTGTGTACATCAGAAAACTCATAAAACAGTTTGAGGCTGCCTAGTCTGGTAATAATCAAATAAAGATCAAGGCGAATATATATGAAAAAGGATTATTTCTTTAATTGATACGCTTGGATACACTTATTTTATTTTGATAAGCATAATGTGTTGATCATCAATGTACGTTGACAAGGTGTCACCTATTTGAAATTGTTGCTTTTTATTGCATTGTTTTTATCGTATGTGATGTTATAGGTAAGTCAGTTTTAGTATGAATAAAAAGAAATTGTCATACAAAGTAACCGTTGTTGAATAACCTTTTTCTTCAAAGTAATTTGACACTAGTGGATAAACATACATGAAGTATGTATCTAGTACAGTGTTGAATAACTTAATTGTATGCAACAGTATTCTAAATTCACATACATGTTTTTGCTAATAAATTTGCAATTACAACTTTAGTTAACAAATTCAAAGGCATGTTAAATTAAACAAGAGGACCATGATGGCCCTGAGTCGCTCACCAGAAACAACTGTTTTTCAGTGTTAGTTTTCAAATGAACTTGCTGAAAGACCAGTCCAGCTCAACTTTTACTTGCCCTTCTAGTTATTGAAATCTTTTGCCCTAATATTTTGGAGGTTTTGTTAAAAATATCTATGTTGCAAGTGTGTTCCCATGAGACTATGTAGAATAAAATAATGCAGAATAAATGACCACTACAGCAGGGTCAATTTTGATGGAACAGTTTTTCTTTATAACTTTTGTGAATGAATACACAAAATGTCACATGCAAAATATGTAAGGTATTTACAGTATGGGACAACAAACCCTATATTTGGGGGCAAATTCGTGCACAATTGGTAAAATTATGGAGCTTTGGTAGCATCTATCTTTCGGAGCGGAATTCGTAAAAATTACCGCTGCCACCAATATAGAACTGTCGCGATTGATTATAAAGGGATTGACAATACAAACAATCGACTTACCTTCCACGTCTGGATCGTAGCCAAGCTAGGAATTGCCTACTTCTTCTAGTTATAAATTACACTTATATGGCACCCAACTGTCAGGCCAAACACACTAGTTCCGGTTGGTCCGGAACCTTCCGTTAACTTCCGTCAACTCTCGTAACCAGTACCATACGGTACTACAAAACTCTAAAGTCAATCTCAACTACTCGGCCCTTTCAGTCAGTCTTCGGATAAGGACCTCGATCACAATAGTATGAATACACAGAACGGATGCGGTATTTCGGTCTAACCTACGCTAAGAAACTAAACATGTAAACAATAGTAATTTAATGCTGGGAGTTGTTGACAAGTTCATTTCTAATATTATGTTATTAAAGTCCACCTAAAATAATTGAATTCATAGGTACAATACAAACAATACATTATTGATATATTTGTTATTATGGTTGTAGAAACCGAAAGTACAAAAAAACCAACGTCGGATTTGCTTAAAATTGAACATCAGTGGGCATATTTAAATTGCAAATTGTTGTCAGACATATTTTCAAGCACAAGAGTTACCGGAACAGACATTAGATGTTAAAAATATACATTCGTTTTACATTATCTCTGTTTCTTTTTATGGTAGAACTACTTTCAATCCGTATTGTTTCCGAGGTTATTATATATAATTGCCGAGGCAGTTCCGTATGCTCTAAAGTGTGTGCATCCCGATAAGAATGGATTGTTTTTATTTTCAATTATACAAACTGTGCAAACATTTGATTACCGTCATACCGCAACCAAAAATTGCTTTCAAGCCACTCGGTACGAAAAACTCGCTTCGGAGCATTATCATTTTGCTTGGATTTCTCAGTTGTTTTAGCATTCGCCGATTGATTTGGTTGGGAAACCTCATTTGGTATAGGCGTAAAGTTGTTTACGTTAGATTATGTCGCCCCATCAACGTTAACATTGTCTTTATTGAAGAATGAAGACAATGTTCGCTGCTTTTTTTTCGAAGCAGACATTGTGAATTAACCCGGATAATGACGTCACAATCTGAAACGTCTGAGCGCTTTTAACGTGTAATTATCACTAAAGCGTAATATAAAATAAATCATGTGTCCGATCAGCTGATGAAATTCTTGCTAGTTATAGAAAACAAGAGGGCCATGATGGCCCTGAGGTCGCTCACCTGTATATAGCCCCCCCCCCCGGGCCAATTTTTACCCAAGGGCTTTTATTTGAACAGACTTGGTAGACACCCATAAGAAGATTTTTAATGCTAAACATCTAGTTCTAGCTCATTGGGTTTTTTAAAAGAAGATTTTTTAAGTTTTTACTATACACATATATTTAAAACAATGACACCCCTGGGGCAGGGCCAGTTTTGACCCCCGAGCTTTTATTTGAACAAACTTTGTAGATATTTACTTAAAGATGTTTCATGTATAATATCTAAACTCAAGCTATTTGGGTTTTTTCAAAGAAGATTTTTAAGTTTTTGCTATACACATATAAGGAAAATCAATGACCCCGGGGCGGGGCCAGTTTTGACCCCAGGGCTTTTTATTTGAACATACTTGGTAGACACCCATTAGAAACATGTTTTCATGCTAAATATCTTAGCTCTAGCTCTTTGAGTTCTTTAAAGAAGATTTTTTAAGTTTTTTACTATATGCATATAGGGAAAATCAATGACCCCCTGGGGCGGGGCCAATTTTGACCCCAGGGCTATTATTTTGAACAAACTTGGTAGACACTCATTAGAAGATGTTTCATGCTAAATATCTTAGCTCTAGCTCTTTGGGTTCTTTAAAAGAAGATTTTTTAAGTTTTTACTATATGCATATAGGGAAAATCTATGACCCCCTGGGACGGGGCCAATTTTGACCCCAGGGCTTTTATTTGAACAAACTTGGTAGACATTCACTACTAGAAGATGTTTCATGCCAAATATCTAAGCTCTAGCTCTTACGGTTCTTTAAAAAAGAAGAATTTTTTAAGTTTTTACTATATGCATATAGGGAAAATCAATGACCCCCGGGGCGGGTCCAATTTTGACCCCAGGGCTTTTATTTGAACAAACTTGGTAGACACTCACTAGCAGATATTTCATGCCAAATATCTTAGCTCTAGCTCTTTGGGTTCTATAAAAGAAGATTTTTTAAATTTTTACTATATGCATATAGGGAAAATCTATGACCCCATGGGGCAGGGCCAATTTTGACCTCAGGGCTTTTATTTGAACAAACTTGGTAGACACTCATTAGAAGATGTTTCATGCTAAATATCTTAGCTCTAGCTCTTTGGGTTCTTTAAAAGAAGATTTTTTAAGTTTTTACTATATGCATATAGGGAAAATCAATGACCCCCCGGGGCGGGGCCAATTTTGACCCCAGGGCTTTTACTTGAACAAACTTGGTAGACATTCACTAGAAGATGTTTCATGCCAAATATCTAAGCTCTAGCTTTTACAGTTCTTTAAAAGAAGATTTTTTAAGTTTTTACTATATGCATATAGGGAAAATCAATGACCCCCCGGGCCGGGGCCAATTTTGACCCCAGGGCTTTTATTTGAACAAACTTGGTAGACACTCACTAGAAGATGTTTCATGCCAAATATCTAAGCTCTAGCTCTTTGGGTTCTTTAAACAAAGATTTTTTAAGTTTTTA